CTGTGCCCTCCTTACCTGTGACCCCTCACCTGTGCCCCCTCACCTGTCTCCTCTCACCTGTGCCCTCCTTACCTGTGCCCTCTCACCTGTGCCCCCTGACCTGTGTCCTCTCACCTGTGACCCCTCACCTGTGCCCTCCTTACCTGTGCCCCCTCACCTGTGCCAACTCACCTGTCTCCTTTCACTTGTGCTCCCTCACCTGTGCCAACTCACCTGTCTCCTCTCACCTGTGACCCCTCTCCTGTGCCCTCTCACCTGTGTCCTCTCACCTGTGCCCTCTCACCCATGCCCTCTCCCCTGTGTCACCTGCCTCACCTGTCCTACCTGTGCCTCACCTGTGCCCACCTGTGCCCCGCAGAGTGAGCCCGACCTGTTCGGGCCATGCCTGCGGCGCTTCTGGACCTGCCCCAGGTGTGACCTGCACCTGCCCCTGACGGGCCCCGAGCGCCGCCACCACCAGGACACCTGCGGGGCACCTGAGGGCACCTACGGGGCACCTGAGGGCACCGGGGGGTCACCTGAGGGCACCTGCGCTGAGGACACCTGTGCCAGGGACACCTGTGCAGAGGGCACCTGGTCACCACCTGGTGGAGCTCCTGAGGGCACCTGGTCACCACCTGAGGACACCTGTGCCAAGGATACCTGTGCAGAGGGCACCTGGTCACCACCTGGTGGAGCACCTGAGGGCACCTGGTCACCACCTGAGGACACCTGTGCCAAGGATACCTGTGCATCACCTGAGGGCACCTGGTCACCACCTGAGGACACCTGTGCCAGGGACACCTGTGGAGCACCTGAGGGCACCTGGTCGCCACCTGTGAACACCTGGTGACCACCTGAGGAGGTCACCTGTGCCAGGGACACCTGTGCAGAGGGCACCTGGTCACCACCTGAGGGCACCTGTGCCAGGGACACCTGTGCCTCCCATGAGGGCACCTGGTCACCACCTGAGGGCACCTGTGGGTCACCTGAGAACACCTGTCCCAAGGACACCTGTGCCAGGGACACCTGTGCCTCTCCCATGAGAGCACCTGGTGCCCACCTGAGAGTACCTGTGGGTCCCCCAGGGGCACCTGTGGACCCGCCCGCCCAAAATCCACCTCGGGCGCCCCCAAAACCCCCCAAAATCCCCCCAATAAACTCGATTTTGGAAGAGGAACCACGATTGGTCGCTCGGTGGGCGTGGCCACCACATAGCGGTCGTTGGTGGGCGTGGCCACACCATATATGGTCACTCAGTGGGCGTGGCCACATCAACATAGCCACATATGGTCATCCGGTTGCCATAGCAACCCCGCCCTCCCATATATGGCCTCCCTGTGGGCGTGCCCGACCCCTCCAGCCAATCACCTCCCTCCTTTTCCCCACCGCCCCCTTTCCGGCCAATCGGCGCTCGCCGGGCGGGTCCCTCTCGGCCAATCAGCGCCCGCCCCTCGCCGCGGGCCGCGCCCCGCGTTCAAGATGGCGGCGCTGCGGGCGCTGCGATGGCGGCGCCTCCCGGGGCTGGTGCCGAGGAGGCTCCTCGGGACCGCCGTGAGTGACACCGAGGGGACACCTGGGGACACCTGGGGACACGGGGGGGGCGTTTGGGGACAGTGAGTGACACGGGGGGGACATTGGGGGACACACGGGGGACATTGGGGAACATTGGGGGACACTGAGTGACATGGGGGGGCATTGGGGGACATTAGGGACATGGGGGGGACATTGGGAGATATTGGGGACACTGGGGGGACATTGGGGGGCACTGAGAGACACGGGGGGGACATTGGGGACACTGAGTGACACGGGGGGG